TCGCTCTTCCAGTCGTCCCACTTCTTGCGGAGGACGCAGGGGATGTAGCGGTTTAACACCGGCCCCCGCGGCTGGAAGTAGCAACCACCGACCACCGACATATATATATATATATATATATATATATATATATATATATATATATATAGTAAATTTGTTTGGTGCTCCATGGTGCCCGGGCACCATTGTTGAAATTGAGTATATAACCAATTCAAATGAGTATGAAACTTTTTCAATTATTTAGGTATTAACATTAACTACTTTACTAACTAGTTCAAAGCAAGTTTGAACTGAATTTGAACTTGTTTTTGTTAGATTTTGATTCTAGGTATATAGCATCCATACATATAATTAGTTAGGTATGTAATCATGAATTGTGAAATAAAGTTAAATTTGAGTTGTTTTGTTGATAGATATATGTATGAATCGAATTCTTATAACTAGGTATATACTCACAATTTAAAATTTTTGAAAAATTTGAGTAATTTTGTGCATTTGAAACCATGGTGCCCGGGCACCATGGTGCCCCATATGAGTGTCCTATATATATATATATATATAAATAAGAAATGCACGCCTTAATTAATTCTATGAATTGGTTGAACACAGTAATAGTAATAAAATAATTATACAAATAACATATTAAATTTGTATATTTTAGGACAAACAGTTGTTCATAGAGTAGCATCCATGTGAATCAAATAGTTCCTCTATCTTTTTAATTTTAGACAACAAGAAAGAGACACACCACCGCACATATGCAAGCTATATATATAATAAGAGATCATCCACGAGTGTACAATATTTACATAGTGGATTATTTGAAAAATAAAATGGTCAAGCCTACCGTAAAAATATTCGCCATAGTTTCATGGGGCAACAAAAACAAGATTATTACGTACATTTCCTTGGCAAAAAAATAAAATATTAATTACAGTATCCCATACAAGACAAAAGGTTACTTTATAACATTAACTTTTCTCAAAACCTGAAAATGGAACTACTAAACAAACATTACTCAACATTCAGTTTTTTTAAGCTGTTCACTTTCCCCTTCACCTAAACTAATTGTTTGAGAAGTCCATAATTGACTTTTAGATTTTGGAAAAGGGACTCTTCATTTCAGTTGAATGAAAGAATAAAAAAAAGGTTCAAATTTAGACGGCTAAGATATCTTCAATCGTGCAGCCCTATCCTTATCCTCTTCCCAACTCCTGACACCTCCCAATCAATTCCCATCTCCGCCACTGCTCAAGCGCGCCATTGCCCGACCTCGTCGGAAGCCATCAACGGTGCCGTCAAAGCCTGCCAGACCAACCTTATTCCCCGTCCCCCTTCTCTGCCTCCCCCTCTCTCTTCCTTCATAAGCTGGCAATGGTGCCATTCCCCCGCATCGCCCTCTTCCTTGTCTCTAGCAGCTCAGCCGCCAGAATATTCACCATTGCTGACTGTCGCCTCTTAACTCCACGGCTTCCCTCGCGCTATTGTTGTCAGCCCTACCCACTGCTGACCTCCATCACGGGGCTTCAGCAACACCCCCCCCCCCCCCCCCCGCCTCGTTGCCCTCTGTCGTACTCCTACCCAAAACCATAACCTTCATCCATAGATTCTCTACTAAAGACAGGGAATTGTCAGCGACGGCAAAGGATAGGTGAGGAGCTCATCGTCGTCATTGCCGTTGATGGTTAGCCCTGGTTGCCACCTTCCCCTTAAACACCGTTGGTAAAGTTCGGGAATATATCCTATGCACATAAGCTTCCAGTGCACACTCCATACACACCAACTAGCAAATATCACAGAAAATTCTAGAAAAAAAATAGACACATACTCCTAATAGTATTACACATATATGCAAAGTCTCATATTCAAATTCATTATATTTTATCCGTAACAAAAAAGTGAAAAATCTGACAGTTTTTATCGTAAAAATCTGTCAGAATTTTATCCTTTTTGTTACAGCTAAAATATAATGAATTTGAAGTTAAGATTTCATAGGTTGGTTTAATACTATTAGAAGTATGCGTCCAATTTTTTTTACAATTTTCTATGACATTTGCTAGGTGGTGTGCACGGATTGTGCACAGGAAGCTCGTGTAAATAGGATAGGATATGTTCCCGTAAAGTAAAGTTCAACGTTACAAAACCAGTGGACTTCTTCAATCCCGTTGCAATCAACTTAGGAACCATTATTTAGATATGATTAGCTGTAGGTTACACAGACATGAATGGGCAGCAGTAGACTAGACAGTGGTCCAAATCAGTGCAACTACCCATCTGCACGGTGCCAAAAGGCCCCCATGCAAATAAATGGCCAATTCGAAACATGTACTAGTAGCATATCTCATCGTAGCGCCCCCAGACGCTGTACTGCACACGCACAGTGCCACGGAGAGAGAAAACAGCCTTGACACACCGGACAAATCATTTAAATGCACACAGGGATGTTACACAGGACATGCATTTGTCACATTTTTTTATTTTATTTATTTTTCCTTGATGGTGTACATGTACTGGTGGTAGTAGTACTACAACCCATGCTTTTCCTTCTTTTTGCAAACATTTTTCTCTTTTTTTTTTGGCCCTCTCCTTTGTCAGATACTGAGCAAAAGGGCCGACAAAGTAAGCATTGTGAATGACATCGTTTGTGGGGACATGCATTGGACCACTGAATGATTTTGCAATCCATTGCTTTATGATTGGAGCTGTTTCTTTCTTTTTTATTTGTTTTTTGTTTATTTTTTATTTTCTCCTCTGCTAGCTGGTACTCATGTTTCAGTGTTATTTTTTCCCCCTAGCTTGGAACAGTTCTATACCATTGTTGCCTGGAAACAATGTATAGTATGTGTAGTACTACATTATATTCTTTCTTGCAAGTAATGTGTTACTGTAACTACTTTGTTGTTGACAACACATAGCTGTCGATATATGTACAGTAGTATATATGGTCCTGCCTGCTTTCAACATCAGTGAATTTTTATCTTACTGTAAAGATCTAAAATAAATCATCATGCATTTCAATCCACAAGTAAACTTAAAATCATGTATGGTTGTAGCCAATATTCCTTTTTGGAAAGATGGTACTATTAGCTACAAGGAATACCTTAGTAAATTCCAAATATATTAGAGGTAGTAAGTACTCTTTTCCTAAATTTAGATTGAGAACTAAGTATACTACACACATATTTCTCAAGAAAATACTCCTTCAGGCTTCGGTCATAAGTTTAGGACATAGACATAGATGTCTCCGAAATACAGACCTTAATCCTTAATTTCAATCGTAAAACATTTAAAAACCTGATAAAGTATAATATTGTGAAAGTTGTTTTCGAGGTAAATCAACATGTATATATGATTTTCGCACATTGAATCTAAATGTGTTAACAAATATATTGATATGATTTTTAAAAGTTTGATCATTTGAAAAACCTTTACGAGGTAATCAACACACATAAACATGATTTTCACACATCTAATCTACATATTTAAAAATATATTGTTGCAATTTTTAAAAGTTTTATCACTTGAAACACCACTGACATTAATACACGTTATCATGCATGATGGGTCTAATTAAATTAGAAGCTAGCTTGACTATATTATTTAGAAAACCAATTTAGGTGTTCTCATATCATGATCGATCTTCCCACTAGGCTTTAGATGAACAACACCGACATCCCTTCAAACCTCAGACCAGGTCCCATTTTGTATTATTATATTATATATCCAATTGGATCTAGCTTTTATACTACTTCATTAGAGACCCGTACGTATCTAACTTATTGACCACCGTGTGCATAATTGTATGACAACCTCTTAACGATAGTAACACTTACTTGCACAAGCCCTAGTTGAAAAGGAATAAAATAGCAATAATATATATGTGAAAAACTAGTTAATTAAATGGCTGCCCAACTACACACATATTTATTGTGAGGTGGCAAAAATCTTGCCTTTGCTAATCTTGACCTCATATAAAGTTAGAACCCACCAGACATCTCAATCTCAACATGCAAGCATTATTTATTAGTACTTTTAAAACTTACCATGTAAGCATGCCACATCAATCTACTAAACACCTAAAGCTCAACATGCAAGCATAGTAATTATATTTACAATTTTATTACATTCTAAACTCAAATGTATACACACACGCTAAATCATCATCCTCAAATCATTTTTCAAATTATTTCAATCCAAATTCACCAATCATTTATACAACATTCAACACACTTTCATTCATATATCCCACGACAAAGCGCAAGGTGTCATCTAGTTATATATATGTACCCTGTCAATAATAACAGTTGGATGTGGCTTACGTTTTGTTATGTGTGCCACACCATTCCAACTAATCTTAAATTAAGGACATAATTAAAGACTAGAAATATAGATCTGGATTTGGTGGCAATAATCCGAGTTGTCACATGACAATATATATAGACTAGTTATAGCGCAGTATGGCCCCATTTGAATCTTCTATAGATGAAGATTAAAAGCGGGCACGCAAAACGAGAAAGTCATTAACGCATGATTAATTAAGTTTTAATTATTACAAACTTGGAAAATGGATTTATTTGATATTTTAGAGTAACTTATATATGTAAAGTTTTCGCATAAAATACACCGTTTAGTAGTTTGAAAAGCGTACTAACGGAAAACGAGGAAAAATCTATATCTTTATGAAGTTAGAACGGGCCGTACATAGTCCTTGTTGCTCTGCTAAATTATGATCAACATATATCGGTTTTTATGATGCAGTCACTTACATTCTAAATCTGTTACATATGTTTGGCAACTATGGGCATACACCACCTTTTTTTTTAAATAATAGGCATCAATATTTGAACCCTGATATATGAAGTAATTCTTACAACTTTACCACCACATGTATTTGAAAAAAAAAACCAGAACACGTATAATCGGCTAGGTGGAACAAGTAGAGAGTTGAAGCTAGGTAGAGACTGGAGAAGACACATACTTATATATATGCATCACAAGAAGAATATAATCATTGTCAGGTTAGATATTTTCTCTGTTTTTTTTTCATGTGCAAATGATACATTACACCGGTCACCAAGTTGCAAAGAGGCATTACAACTTTCAAGCACCCCTAGTGTCATGTAGTGCATGAGAATATAATCTACTGCACTTACACATTGAGAATAAATACAAAAATGTAATGAAAAACTAAGAAAAAAGAGAGCAAAGTGAAAGAGGGGACTATCGTGTTGTTTCGACAAAACAAACAAACCACTCCTAATTAATTTTTTTTCATCCATGTCTTGTTTCATCGCGCATTGCTGATATCGCGGCGACGCAGGTATCGATCTGAGTATGGTCATAAACAGTATATCTGAATGTGCAATGCATGGGTCCATATATATAGCAAGCAAGCAAGCAAGAGCTTGCTAGCTAGCTAGTCATGATCTATGCTGTGCCAGCTCGGTCTTCCTAGCGTGAACTCGAGGCTAGGGCTGCTCAGTTCATGGCTGGATACTTGCAAGCTGCTTGATCTACAAGGCTCCATGTCCTGATCCAATTGTACAAATTTATGTGTGTCAGTGTAGTTTATAAAACAGTAATATATACCATGTAAGTTATAAAGGAAAGAAATTAAACTGAATGTCAGTGTAGTATATGTTTTTTTGGATGATGGATTGAAACCCGGCCTATACATCCAACACGGATATATGTACACGGTCAGTCAGTGTAGTATATTAAGGAAAGAATACAGGGAGGTCAATCTGATGAGTATCCATACCTCAACTGTAACCAAATGTTGAGGATCCATATTGCACACGCTCGATGAAAGCCATAGATCTCTGAACAGAAGTTTGGCAAAATTGTTACTAGTGCAGAGTGAAGTTTATTAGCAATATACACCATAGTACTAATTAACCTTTTTTATGTACCAAGTGTTCTTTCAACTTTTTTAGTAATTAAGTACATGCATATTTGCACACACATATATAGGTAGGAATAGATACCTAAAAGCAAATTATTTGGAAATAAAGTCTAAATTTGAGATAAATTAAATTAATTGCTTCCAAATAAATGCAACCTCGCTATACATATTACGGACATTGATGTGAAAATTGACAGCCGCCTTGACAATTGTTTTTCGGAAGCGGGTTTAGATCATAGGAGCTCCCTGTTATTATTACTAGTGATTTTTTTGTGGCTACAATTTTTTTTTTGTAGTAGTGATCTCATGGTTTTAGACCCCGTTTGGTAGGGCTCCAAACTCCAACTCTCAGCTCTAAACTCCCACTCTAGTGGGAGCTAGCTCTTGTAGGAGTTGGAGACCTGCTGAAAAGTGTTTGGTAGGTTTTGAGCTCTAGATCTGAAATTACAAAAAAAAAAAGAAAAAAACTCCCCAATCGCAACTGCTGCCGTCGCCGTCCCCGTGTGCGGGCGGCCGCCTCCTGCTGCGCGCCGCCCGCCGCAGTCCGCCCACCGGCCGCGCGCCACTCGCGCCGTCCCCGATGTTGCCCGCCGCCTGCCGCCGTCCGTCCGCCAACCGCGCGCCGTCCCCGATGCCGCCCGCCGTCAACCTCGCCGCCAACCGCGCGCCGACCGCGCACCAACCCGCCGCACGCCGCCCACCATGTGCTGCTCGCCGTGCGCCGGCCGCCGTCGACCCCGCCGCCCGCCGTGCGCCGGCCGCCGTCGACCTTGCCGCCAACCGCGCGCCGGCCGCCGTCGAGCTCGTCGGAGTGGAGAGTGAGGGTGACGGCCTGATGGGAGGGAGAGAGAGGGGTGAGAGATGAGTTAGGGGTAGTTGAGTGGCAATTTTGTGTAAATATGTAAAAAATTTAAAGGGTAGTGGGTCTTTTGGTTTGGAGTGGAGTTGTGGAGCAGCAAAAACCCAGCTCCACCCCCGTAGTACAAATTTGTGGAGTAGCTCTGCCAACTCCGCTCCCAAAAATGGAGGATCTGGATTGTTTGGCATAGCTCCTGCTCCAGGTAAGTTGGAGTTAGGAGCTGGAGCTGTGCCAAACGGGACCTTATTTACCCATATGCTTAACCCTAGATTTCCAGCCTAGGACTGGACTGTACACTGTAGGCCAAAGCACTTTAATTTGGTGTCCCAATTAATTAATCCCTACCTTTGCAATGCTTTTAATTTGGAACAGTAGTAACTTGTAGTACATATTACCGGCAATCATGAAAATTGTGAACCTAGCCATAGGTTTGCTGGCTACAAAGCTCTCTAGCTCTAGGCAACATGCCATTAAAAAGATTTATATGTTGTGTTGGTACAAATGTGTGCATGCACAGTACTGTCACAGAGAGAGAAAGAAGTTACTCATAGATATGTAAACCATGTTGCATATAACTGGCGCGGGCACAAATGCACACTAAAACAAGCTTCTCTACATTAAAAAGCTTGAAAAACCTATTAGCTCAATTATGTCAGAAAAGGTACTAATTATCTTTTGTTAAGTTCATACTAGACAAATATTCTATTGTACACTGTATTATTTCTTTCTAGGATAGTTATATAGATGGCATACTTTATAATTGGCATTTAGTTACTAACATGGACTAGATATTTCTCTCATTGACGATGCATATGAAGGTCTCCTCCATTAATAAATTATTCATACACTTTTAAACCCATCGCTATTTTTAGATATTTTATTTATTTTTCAACTAAGACTGTTTTTAATAATTAAACTGTTAAAAAATCCCACAATATATTCTATTTATGTAATATTTTAACAAAAACATACAAAAGTTGGTTCACACCATAAATCACTGGTGGAGAAACCCTTATTTGTCCCGGATTGTAACCCTCTATAGTCCGGGACCAAGAATTCGGGACCTTTAGTCCCGGTTGTTATTGGAACTGGGGCTAATGTGGTTTTCGTCTGACCCAGCAAAGATCAGTTCTCTAGTAGTGAATGATGCTACCCTTGGTATATTTACCAATGTGCGCACTCCAATATGATTTTTCTCTACAAGATTTATGCATAGAAAACCGAGAAGAGAAAATTCTGAGAAACGAAACTCTAAAGGTCGAGACACTGAAAATTGTAATTGTTCTTGTTGTACTCAAAATGGATGTAATTCTTTTTTTCCTTTGCGTGTGCATGTTGGGGGGGATTATATATGAGCCCTTTAATTTATTGTTTATAGTAGGCAAAACCTACATTTAAATATTCATTCCAAAAAAAACCCTACATTCAAATGTTTCGTACCAATGGCTAACACAAGCTATATAGTTTGGAAAATATGTAAAAATGAAATTATGCAATTCTTTTTTTTTTACTTTTGTGCTCCATTTTTTTTTCAAAAAAAAATGCAGTAGTATAAAAATGGTCAACATTACAGAAATCTTAAGACAAACTTAAAAGAGATAATTAAAATCTTGAGAAATTTATTAGGCGATAAATGCATCGTAGATTATAGATGATCATGGAAATGGAACACATTTTTAGTGAACAATCCAAAATATTACATAATTTTCAAATTTGAAAGAGCTTTATCAAGCTACAAAAGTCAGTTTTCAGGATGGAGAGAGTTTTTCTGTGTCAATATATAAACAGCATTTCATATCATGTTTTTTTTTTAAAAAAACAATGTTTGATGCCCAATACATAAATTTCTCCTATTATTGAACCTCAGTATATCTGCTACAGTATCAGTAGACACTGGGAGTAATGGCAAGGAAAGTAAAGGACAAAGCAACACAGGAAGAGGCCCTTGGTTACACATTTCTAGGATGTCAGCTAGTATCAGGTCTGAGGTCAAAGCCCACAGCCCCCTGGACACACACACACAGGCAGCCATGCATTGATAAGAAAAGGTAAAAAAAAGCAGATCTATTACCACTGGAGAGAGAAGAACTAGGAGGAAGAAGAGGACATTGCAAAGCCCAAGAAAAACACACACATCTTCATCTTGAAGGAGGAGGCCATGGCTGTGCATGCATGCACTGATCAAGTCAAATGCATGGGAGAGGCCCTCCTATCCATATCTCTCTCTCTCCTTCTTTTTGTGTGTGATTTGTGTAGGGCCAAACATCTTTTTGAGCTTTAGCCACTACCAAAATAACCAGATTATACTGTAGTAGCTTGTGTTCACAACTTGATTAACTTCCTGTTTGGGTTATCTTTGCTCTTAAGCTATGTATGTTACTGTCCAAACTAAGACTTTTCTTTTAACGAACAGCACCAAACACAATCCCAAGTTTCTATTGATGTACTAGGAAAAATAACACAAAACTAAAGCACTGAAAAACAAACAAACAAACAAACAAACAACGAAATTAGTCACCAAATTTTGTGTGCATACCTCGGCGAATTGCTGCGCGCTCTGATGGTGTCGGAGTTGACGGCAGAGGAGGAGCAGTCGCCGTCGCCGCCACCGCCGGCATGGCTCGCCGCGCCCTCGGAGGAGGACCGGTGCTCGGTGAACGACATCCGCCGGTCCGCATCGGCGCCCGATGACGTCGCCTGCCTTCCATCGCCGGCCAGGAGCTCGTCGTCGCCGGAGCCGGAGCCGGAGCCGCTGCCGTCCATCGGCCCTGAAGACAATAATATCACAAGCAATAATGTTCAGTCCCATATCTGTTTGCTAGTAAGCACACAAAAAATAGTGTACACAATGTGATGATTTAATTAATAAGGCAATGAATTTAGTGAAGTTAATTTGGCAATGGGGAATTGGTTAATTGGGGATTGATGATCTGAAATGGTCGAGGTTAATTACCTGAGGCTGCTGCTGGCTTGTCAGTGCTCTTCACGGTCCTATACATCTGCAGAAAGCGCAGCAAGAAAAGAATCATGCACCGAGAAAGCAATGCACAAAGCAAAGCTGCAAAGAAAGATATATATGCATCTTCTTGGGATGGATAAATAGATTATCAATCGGAGTATTCAGAGTGAGGATAGTAAAAGACAGCAAAACATGATGGATCAAGCTGGAGATCATGGCAGCCAAAAGCAAAGCAAAAAAACACCAAGAAATGGACAAACCAAATACTACTCCATCACGAGAACACCTCAAGAAAGAATTGAGAAAAATTTTACTGCACTTGCTGCTCAGCTTCACTCTCTCTCTCTTCTTGGCTGGGATTCTGTTCCCTAGCTGAGTGAGTGAGTGAAGTGCTCTGGTCAGGACACACACAGAATGCATTATTGCATAATGATGGCAACTTTTTCTCGCACACACCCCCACACGCATCGATCTTCTCCACACACACACAATCTCTCTCTCTAGGGCTCCTCGATTTCTCTCTCTCATGGAGTTCTCATCGGAATCTGTGCCTGGTACTCTCTCGATTTCTCTCTCTCTCCCCCCATGTACGTACGGTGCAGTGTCCGAGCAAGAACAAGAAGAAACAGTGCGCGTGAGCAGTGCGGATTTTGAAGGGAAATCAGCTGCAATTTTCCCAAGCTTTGTAGTAGCTTAGCTCGATCATGGCCATGGCGATGTGGTGATATGATATGGAAATTTCCAAGGAGGAGGAGAAGTTGTTGGTGTTGTTGATAGGTAGGGCATCGATCTCATCATCATCATCATCACCTGCAGATGGCTCTTCACATGAGCTAGGGTCAGATCCTTGACGTCCATCAGCTCTAGCACCGATTTGGGCGTCGCTCCTGCATCAAATTAGAGCGCGAGATGAGATTTTTTGAGCTGATTTTCGCATGAAATGATCCATGTTTAGATGGGGCCTCACGCTCGTGGCCGCCGAGAAGCTCGACGGCGTGGACGAAGCGGGCGTGGAGGGAGCTCGTCCACCGCATCCGCGGGGCGCGCATGCTGCGGCGGGACGCCGGGAGGAGGCGCGGCATGAAGCGGGAGGAGGCGAACCCGCCGCCGGCGCCGGCGCCGCCGTAGCCGCCCATGGCGGCGGCGGCGGCGGCCGCGGAGCCGTAGCCGATGGAGCCCGCCACCGCAGCGGCGCCGGCGTAGCCGCGGAGGGTGTCGGCGAGCACGCCGTGGAGGCGCCCCGTGCTGGAGAGCATCCGGTGGTACGCGGACGGCGACAGCAGCGACGACGTCGTCGGGTCGAGAGCTGCTGGTGGGGGAGGAGGAGCCGGCGCCGGCGACGTCGAGCACAGCGACGACGAGGGCCATGCCGTGGAGTGGTAGGGGTTGTAGAGCCGGTTGTGCCGGTGGTCGCCGCCGCCGCCTCCGAGGAACGGGTGGCCACCGCCGCCGCCGCCGCTATACACAGGCACCCCACGGATCGGCGCGCGCGCCGCCGCCGCCGAACCATCCATCGGTATCGTCGGCAGTGTCACCGGCACGGACGCCGCCGCCGCCGTCGGCTGCCGCAGCCGCCACGGCAGCACATCGGCCGCCGATGTACTGCCCTCCTGCTGCTGCTGCGGCGTCGACAGCGACAGCTCCGTCGACGCTGTGGAGCCATCCAGCCTCCGCCACGGGTCACCACCACCCGCCGCCTTGCCGCCGCCGGCACCACCAACCGCACCGCCGTTCCCCAGCCCCGGCGGCGCCGTCGTCCCCACCGCCGCGCCACCGCTCGGCAGGCTGATGTGCAGCGACAGGTCGGGCGTCGTCGACGTCGCCGACGCCATGTCCGTCGTCGTCCCTCCTTCGCCGCGGCGCGGCGGCGAGCGAGCGCGCTAACCACTAAACGTATAGGAAGCTTCCTTGGGCTTCTTGGGATCGAGAGGAAGGAGAGAGATCGAGGTGGCTTGTGTGTTGTTTCCTCTTGTGCTTAATTTGGAGATGTGTGTGGTGTGTGCTTGCTAGCTAGCTAGGCTTCTCTCTCACTCTCTCTCCCTCAAATTCCTCTCTTTTGTGTGTACAAGCTTCTACAACCACATCCACAATCTTTTGAGTACTTGTACTAGGGTACTACTACTAACCTTTGTATACTCTCTCTCTACACTTTCTCTCTCTAGTTTCTCTCTCTATCTCAAGAGAAGAAGGGAGACATTAGGGAGGGATGGATGAATTGGAAGGAATGGAACCGGTTTCATGTGTTGTCTGGGGTTAGGTACTGGTCTTAAAGGGCCTTGGTGATTGATGAGAGAGAAGAAGAAGGGGGAGGAGGGTAGTAGTAGAACTAGTAGGTATAGCTAGTATCTGTACACATACGCGGAGAAAGCGAGAGAATTATTTCGGAAAAAAAAGGTGGTAAGTGTAAATACATATAAAGGGGATTTATTCGGTTAGGGTTCTGATTTCCGGATAAGATGAGAGGCCAAAGTTGGTTGAGGGCAGCCACGCGAAAACGACATACATAAAAGGACCAAAAATGAGTCAAAAGCAAACACTTAATGCCTTTTGCATCTACACTACGAAGAAAATACAACATACATATATATAATATATTAGATGATATATATTGTATATTGTGGAGGAAAATGTCGGAGTAGTAAAAGCTGTGGGATTGAGCTCGTGTGCTTAGGATGCTACATCTCCTCTCACCTTTTTTCATCCCATATGCCCTAAGAAAGAATTTAGGCTGTGCTTTCTCTCTCCAAAAATCCCTTTCTTTCTCTTTCATCCTGACCTGCCTCTGTCAACTGTAGTGCAGGAGTGTAGAGGCACAGCGACCCTTTTTTTTGTGGGGGGAGGAATTTGGCTAGCTGTAGATATCAGCAAAATGCAACTGGTTATACATGTACAGTACTACATGCATGCAATATATGCTCTGTCCAGTTCCAAATATGAGCTAATATTTCTGCAAGAATAGGCAAATCTGGTTCATTGCCTTCAATACGGCCCTTATGTAAAAGTATGAATTTCAGTAAGATCCATTTTACCCAAACACCATGCATTTACCTGTACCAAAATTTTGACAGTTCCATGCATGCACCTATATTAAATTATCCAAGCACTGGCCACTGGTAAACACTGCATCTTCCACATCTGTAACATGGTAATAATATGGTAAAATCTATGCCTTGAGTAAAGAACCAGCCTGGTCAAAATTTAAAAATGATTAGAAGAAGAAGAAGCAACATTTGTCTGAATTTAAAAGTTCACATCTATTAAGTTATGGGGAAAAAATCCAAGTAGATAGCAGGTGTGCTCCCCTCTATAAACACATCAGTCAATCTCTCTCTCTCTCTCTGTGTGTGTTTTGCATTGGCCCACCTGGAGGTTTGTGATGTCCGTTGCTCTGTTTTTTGCCCTACTGTTTGATGTTGTACCTGCAGCTAGCAATGTAGGGTCGTGTTGGTTCTCTAGGCACTACTAATTCTTCAATAATGTTAAAATCTAGGTAAAATTTGATACTGCCAATTCTTCAAAGGTAGAGGTGTATGTTTGGTTTGCTATCAGTAAACTTGATGTAATGAAAGACAATCCTAGATTGTTGCCAATGGAGCATGCATGTCATTACTAATGATTTGGCTTCATTCGAAATCAATTTTTTTTTTGGTAGGGTAGCAAACCAAAATATCTCCAATTAGAGGTGTTTTGCAGTGCTCTTTATTGACAGCAAAACAAATCTAGACCATTTATTTCTTTTAATCCAATGAATCATATCTACTTATACAAGGAAACCAAAATTAATTGTAGAATAGTTTTTTTTCTACATATAGTAAATCATCGGTAGATATCATGAATAATGCTAGTAGTAGAATAATAGTCTATTAGAGAGCACAGTATAGATATCTCTCCAAATATTACCTTACCAACATTATAGAATTTCCCTGAAACTTGTCTCTTATACAGGTGTTTCTTATAGGTATGCTCTTTGGCTTATATTCAAATAAACATCTAACGTATCCTATCCTACCAAACTTTGTTCAAGTTTTAGCACTATCAAAATTTTAGTAAGACATCAAACCAAAATGGTCCATATACACTATTATTTAAGTTGCTAAAGAATCAGTAGGGCACGTTTTGGTAGCAATCCAAAATAGCCGTACAGAAAACTGAACAGAGGTGAGACACACTGCCAATTTCAGATGGTCACATGAAGAAGACGATATATATGTGCTCTAAATTATATATATATTGATGCTTATTAGACCGAGATGAAAAAAAAACATGTCATTGTGTTTTAACCTAAAGTTTGCATCAAGCAGGCTTACACATCTTGTAGGTTATGCTCTATATATATACGAAAAACTAAATAATTAATTCATCCATCTTAATATATACTATCTATTAATTCACTCACGAATTTACCTGTTCAGTGCTTTCTGCATATATAGTTTATACACATGACAAAATTGAAATGGATTTACAATATCAAAAATAAAATATCACCAGTGATCAAAGAAAATACTACTGATTTCTTTCTCTCTCTTTTTTTTGGCAGGTCAAGGTCCTAATTAAAGCAATGGCTTTTATCAGCATCTTCACCATTTTTAGCGGCCCACTGGTGTCATCTCATCTGAAGACAGTGACTCGTACTGTACGTTCTATCACGCGTTTCTTATTTCTTAATTTTCTCTTCCTTAGCTTGGCAAAGGTATGAATGTCTGATCATTTCAACCATTAATTCAGTGACAACAACATATATTTTATATGTAAATATATATGCATGTGCATGCTGTGCTGTCAAGGTTGCTGGAGCTAGAATTGCCATTTAGGACCAAATTGTCAACTGGGGCTTAATAACCTACAGTTAACCAGATCTTTCAAAAAAACAACAAAGTTAACCAGGGATTAGCATTAATTAATATATTAGGGCTGGCATGTACCTTTGCTTCCAGAACACAGTTGGTTGTAGTTCCCCAGATATTCCAGCAGGGGCCTTAGCTTGTCTCAAATAGTAATTATCATGTCAACTTGCACATGGCAAATTTCTCAAAAAATAAAATAAAAATCTAGTTTGACTCCCTATATATATGCCTGTCGTCCACATGTGTTCAAATGTGTAGTAATTCTGTAAACTGCCCAAGTTACTGGCTATGCTTTGTCTTCTCTCTCCTTAGCTTTTTTCTTTGGAAAAATATAGAGTGCAAACCACATATATAATGGAACCTAAAAGCTATCGTTGGATCTAAAAATGAACGCCTAAGATTTATCCACGCCATTAAGAGTAAACTTTTTATTCCTAACAAAATTTCTATTCATGATTGAATCTGCAAATAAAATTTATACTCAAAGTGATATGGATAAATCTCAGGCGTCCATTGTTAGATCCAACTATAGTTTCCAGGTTTACATTACATACGTGGTTTGCACTATATATTTTCACTATTTGAAATGGATTATTAATCACCGAATTATTGAAACGGATTATTTACTATATGTTTAGAAAAATATATTTTCTTGAAACACATCCTTCCACAATATCATTAAGAAAACTTGTTTCAAGCTATTTATTGAATTTAAAGAAAACTTGTTTCAAGCTATTTATTGAATTTAATTATTAAAATAATTAATTTATAGTAGAAAATCCATGATAATATTTTTTTAAATAACCTGAATCAAAGCAGGGCCTAATTATTCTGATTCACAAATAGCGGATATATCATATATGTCACCCTTGCGAGTGTGACTGGTATCTTCTTTCAAATCCCTTTATATATTTTCTTTGAAACACAACACAAAATGGTCATACGCGAGACGTGTGCATTGCAGTCTTGTGCGTACGATGCAGAGGACAAATTTCATCTTTTCATTTGCTTAAAAAAGCAGAGATGATTTTGACATACCCTGAGAAATTCAGTTGTACAGGTTAATAAAATGAGGTTATTGCCAATCAATTGAAAACCCATCGTATGTTTGTTAGTGAAAGATTTACACCTTTTTTTTTTGGGGTTTATCTTTTCTTCCCCCATGCAAATGTTGTAAATTTTTTAACATCATTTTCATGATGTATATGTATCAATGAGGATCAAGTGGAGGAAGATGTTTATTTTTCAGAAAATTCCCTACGTGCCCTCTAAAATTTCATTAACGTCTCCGATATTCGCTAGCTTGATCCTTATATATTCTTGAGTTTTGTTTTGATCTCTGATGAAGAACTAGGTCCAAATCTTCCTATATGTATTAATAACTATCGATTTGGCAGAAACTTGCAATTCGAACCCTGCAATCACCATGTCTCTTTTGGTTATCAATCGTGCCGAAACCCGATTGACCTCGCCGAGAAGGCTAATCCCTACATGTGAATCAACGAAGAATACAAGTAAGAATAATGCAAATTGCAACTCAATTTGAAGCTGAATGATTAAGATTTTAAGGTTAGGGTTCCACAAACCGAACTAGCGGCGAAATTGCAACGAAAAAAAATAATCTAAGCAAAACCCGACTCTAAACAATGACGGCTACTGAATAAATATAATTAAGTACGTCCTAGGGTTAGTCCTAGGGCATCCATCCCTTGTGCATAACCTATGACACAATCACAAGGCCCAAGGCCTAAATCAGATTTGGATTAGATGAGATACGTCACCTATTTTATAGATACCTGATAACTTGGCAGGAATTTTTACATGGAACCAAAATAATATGAAAGTATATTCCATAAGCTTTCCAACAAGTATTCATGTGCCCCTAAATTCCTTCTATATCAACGGCTAGGTCCGTTTAAAGTTGATATTGTAAGGAGACTCGGTTCCGAATCCAAAACGGCAATATAATTTCATAAGAGAATCTCTTTGAGAAGTTTTATGTGAAATTAAACATATTTTCACAGGCGGGCCTCTTAAACGGCAGGGAAAATGTATTTTCACAGGCAGGACTCTTATAGGTCTGTCTAGAAGTTTCACTTACCTCTTCTTTCCCTCTCAGCACACTTCAAAACTTTTTTAAGTCACCATCCTTCCTTCTCTCACCTCCTCTCCTCCTTATATTACTCCTCTCTTGTTTCTCACCTTCTCTCCTCTCTCTCCCTCAACTTTCCTCCCAAGCGCCGGCGAGGGGCGACTGGCAGGCGGCAATGATGACCTTGGGCGCCTTCGGCGGGCGCGCGACGAACAACAGTGACAGGACTGTCCCCCGCACGGATTCAGCAGCAGTGGCCGTCCCTCGCCCGGATCCAACGACGGCGGCGGCGGTAGACCGCACCTAGCTAGGGTTTTGATTTTTGGGGATTTTTTTTGGACTTTTATTTTTGTGTGCGGATGATATAAGCACCACATGC